GGGGAGTGTTGGTGGTGATGGTGTTGTTAATATCTCCAGACTTCATTAATCATGGGTCTGACCAAGCTAATGGCTGACTTCAGGTTAACATTTTACACCTCATCATTCACACTCCTCAGCTGGGTTTGTGTGGAGAAGTTCTTGACCTACCCCTGAGTGTTGCTCTGAAGCGTGTAGAGGATCTCTTATCAATTTTAGAAATTTTACCTTTTCCTCTAATGGATTCCTACTTTACCTCAGGGAAAGTTGGAGAGTATGGCTACGTTGGTCAACCCAACGCAGTGCGCACCAACTTCACCACCAAGCAGCTCACGGAGCTGGAGAAGGAATTCCACTTCAACAAGTACCTGACGCGTGCCCGCAGGGTGGAGATCGCCGCTTCTCTGCAGCTCAATGAGACCCAGGTGAAGATCTGGTTTCAGAATCGCCGAATGAAGCAGAAGAAACGTGAAAAGGAAGGGCTGTTGCCCATCTCTCCTGCTACCCCACCTGGAAGCGACGAAAAGACGGAGGAATCCTCGGAAAAGTCCAGCTCCTCACCCTGCGTTCCTTCTCCGGGGTCTTCTACCTCAGACACTCTGACTACCTCCCACTGAAGGCCACTCTCGCCCCTAACTCCACAGCCCAGACTTCTCCTGGGGCTGGGATTTCTTACCCAAAGCACATTCTTAGCTTATCTTCCTTTCCACTTACTGTCTCTCTTTCTGATCCTATCTGGGGAGCTCCTGGCCAGGAGAATGTGTTTCCAGAAAACTCTAGACCAGAAACTTGCTGAGAGGTTAACTTCTTAGTCCTGATTTGGTGCCAGCATTAATTTCTGATGGCCCCTTGCATTCCTCCCTGATTTTAAGAGATTTTCATAGAAACAACTGTTTCTTTCAGTTGCCCTTTGGAAACTAGGGTCTCCTTGCCTGCAGAAACATGCCAGAGGGAGGCATGTTCACCTCTTATCTAATTGTGTATTTACAGTTCTCCCCTACCTTCCCCCTAAAAGTAGAATCTAGAGGAAGGGTGTCCAGGAGCTCATGATGAAGACATGCACTATGAGTGTGTTTACACAATTAATCCATCCCTTAATTTAATTCAGTTTCATGTGTATGAGTTTGCTGGTTGTAAATACTTTGTCTTGAGAGATTTATCTTTATACAAATTTTCTAGAAACGTTTAGAATTAGGTGACTAAATCAGACAGGGTGGGCAAACTCTCAAAAGGGGTACAATTTTTTTTATGTAATTATAGGTGAAGAATAAATTCCCTCATTTAAATCCAATCAGATGCCTCAGAAGGTAGTCTCAATTTGTTCCTTTAGTGAGTTTAGAAGGCCTGTAGGGCACAAGGCTCAGAAACCTTGGCTTCCTGTGCTAAGTCTCTCCTCAACCCTACCCCTTTCTTCTCATTCTTCTGGCCAACCTGCCAATTAAAATTTGTGCTGGATTATTCGGAACCTAAAGGTATTGCTCAAATCAACTTCTTCCTTCCACAGTTACTTTAGCTGGATATGATGTATTTTCAGCTGAATTGTTAATGTGATGGATGGCACAATGAATGTATATTTTGTGTGATTCGTGAATAGTCTTTTGCATGTCGCACAATGTTTTGATGTCCCTGAAGTACCATACTGAGTTCTATCAGTTATTCTTTGTGAGCCTACAATATTCCCCATTTCCTGTACAATCATGAACAGCTCTGAGATCCTGGAGTGATATGATCCAGAGCAGAGTTTACGGGTCTTAAGATGTCTGTAATAAATATATTCAAGTTTCAGGTATGCTTAAGCATATGTGTCTCACAGGGCTACAGTTTGTTGCTTCCTACGAAGTTGACTCATTTCATGTGGGAAGAAAAGAAGGGTGGTGTGGATTTTCAAAGAAATGGGCCTTTTCTTGAATAAAAGTGAATGCTTTTCATTAACATGTAGCTGAAGCTTGCCCTATGAGTGTAATTTCACTTAATCAATGTCTATTTGGTACCTTGAGTCTCTTCAAAGTAACAGCAGCTCTTTTATTATAATCAAAGTTCATAATGGGAAAAAAGAATGGTGAAGAAATTTATGAAGCAGATCTATTTTTGAAACAAACATGGATACTTCCTGGGTCAAGTGCTAACCTTTTCACCTCCAACTGAACATTGACGTATATATAAACAGAGCCCCCTTCAAAAGCTGAAACTGTCTTCAGTCAGTCTTTCCTCACATCAGTGAACCAAGAGGGAAGAGATTCATATTTAATTAGCTCTGGTATAAAGCCGCTGTGAAAATGGGGCCCACCCCATCCCTCTTCCTCCTTTCTGATTGTCAGGCAGTGTTTCAATATATTTCACCCATTTAATTGAGTGTGGTATGTTTTCAGTAAACCCTTGCTCCCTCCCCTCATTCTTCCTGTCAACATCTATCCTTCCTGGCTCACCCCCATCTCTGGGTTGCACATCTCATTTCCTTCAGACTCAGCTTTGAGTTCATATCCATCTTGGCTGTAAAGAGTCCACGCCACATAACCCAGAAAACAATATTTTTTTTTTTTCCTCTGGGCTCAACAGTTTCTTCTACTGAACTTGTGAAAGCCACTCTGAAGTCTTGCCATATTGAAATTACTTCTGACCAAGTCATGAATTGACCTCAAACAGAGAAAGCCAGCAAGCTAGAGTTCAAAGTGGCAATCCTCCTAGACTTCTTGCCACTTTTCCCTTACTTTCACACATTTTTGGAGGCTTTAATTGAGTCCCAAGAGCAGAACAGGACATTTACAGCATTACAAACAAATACAGACACATGACTTCCTTCCTCCTCAAAGGATGTTTTAAAAGGATGGGCTGAGGAGAGAACCCTACAAATATCTGGAATTTGCAGGCCTCTAGAGCACCCGTGAGATTTCCTGCACTTTCTTGCTAAAGGGGGAAAGCCTGGACTTCGAAGGCACAGTTGCTGCGGCCACATCAAGGGCACCGGGTGCCTTTCCTCAGCTGCTGGGTTCTGAGGCTGCCTCTAAAAAGATTCAAGTGGACGAAGGAGAACTTCAAAGACAGCCTTTCTTTCATTTCCCGCCTAGCCTTGTACTGTATCTTTTGTTTATTAGTGTAAGGCCACACAGCAAAACAGATGGCTGGTTTCCAAATACTTTAATGTGTTAAGTTTCATTTGCATGCTAGTGTCTTGATTTCAATATCTAAAGGCAGGGCCGGGACCCACTGAAATCCAGAGATTCCAATCTTCAAGGTGCTGGTTTTAATGTAGCCCAGAGAGAGGAGAACGATAAATTATGGCTAAACATCTCTAGCCTTCTCTAGGTCGTGGAATAAATCAGTTAACAAGCAATGCATTTAGGAAACATTAATACACCTCTCAACAAGGAAAACATTTGTATCTTTTTAGCTGTCCCAATCGATTAAATCAAAGGCGCTTAACACATTCTATTGCAAGGTCTCTCTTTTTCTGTTTTGGTCTCTGAGGAGTGCAGTTAGATTCTTGAAAAATGACAGCAATTCTAACTGAAATGACAGAAAGAGGGAAACAGAAAATAACATTATATCGACATGTTTGAAAAGAAAACAAGGGTCTCGGTTAAGGACCCAGGATAACTGCAATATAAAATTCATTTTCAAATGCTTTATTTCCCACCTCCTTGACACTTCATCCAAAGTACTCCTGAAATTCAGGGTGTCTCCATACTAGGCTGAATGGAGGTCTTGCTGTGACTCTGAAGTCTGCTCTGGGCTTCACCTTTGAAAGTTTACTTTTGGAGGCTATTGAGATGCGGTGGTGTTTTCCTCTGGGGCAATCAGATTCAAACCGATCAATATTTACTCAGTCTGAAAGGGTTGTTGAAAAGGCTGCTAACAACAAACTGCTTAGCTGCTCACCCCTGTTTAATCTCAGGTTCACCGAAAGTTCAAGAAGAGATGAATGCAGTGATGGGTCACTTTAGAATGAGTCCCAGCGGTTTATCTGAGCTCTCAGCTAAAGGCAACAATTATAGTTCCATCCCTTTTTGGGAAAGGGGCAACTTTCCTATTATTCTTTTGCTAAACAATGTTTACTAGAAACTTAAAACACTTTCCTCTTCCCTCCTGTTTTTTTTTTCCTTCTTTTTTTTTTTTGAAACTTCCAGCTGCCCTTCCTCTGCCTCCTCCTCTGGTGTTCTACCACTCCGCTAGATTTCATTCACCTTAAAATAAATTACATCAAATATTTTAAAAACACTGAATTAGTCTGATAGAAGAGATCTGATTTATTTCAGATGCCACAACTATGAAATGAAATGCTTTGGGCCATTAGAGTTTATCTTTTTGAAAGTAGAAGGCAAGATTGAACTGAAATCCATTTGCCTTTGAGTAATATCGGCAATCAGAGCCCCAATATCCATCTGAAATGGCCACTCAGACCAGAGTGGCAGGGAATTAGCTTGTACAGAAACAAATACTTCAGGTAGAAAGTTAACTTTAAAAATTTACATCCTTCGAGGGCATGAAACTACTTAGAGATGAAAAAGGGAGATCCAAGAAAGGCAGTGGGGAATGGTGGGTAGATGTTGGACACTGAAGCTAATTGCTACAGCTTTTCAGAGGTCAGAGTTCATGTAATCACTGCATAAATGCATACTAAATAGGGATTCATTAAGCTTTCCTGATGGCTAAGCACGTCTGTGAAAAATCGTCACTGCTGTTTGTTTCTTCCTTAAGAATAACCATTCTTGAAGTAGAAGCTCTAGATGGTTGAGTCTAATTTGCTCTTTGGAGAGACAGGCAACACTTCTGTTGTAAAATTTTGAAATCAGTGCACGGACAGCATCTATCTTTATATAGGATGGGACTGTAATAT